CATTGGTTCTGCTTATATGCATGCATATAAGTCCTTCCATTGATCTCTTACCCCCTCTCCCCCCCAACAATCCCCAGCCTTCCTGCTGTAATTTGACAGTCTGTTCGATGCTTCTCTGCCTCTGTATCTATCTTTTTGTTCATTAGGTTATAATGTTCTTTATTATATGGGATAATATTTTTAGATAATCCTCTAAGCATTACATGGGGGTGTTGGTCCATTCACAATATCTGGGAAATAAGCTCTAGGGAACATCTTGTTATCTATTAGACTCAGAAAAGTTTCTTGCTGTCTAGATGCTTTCCCGTTCCTCGGTGATTTACATCATATTAGCCTAATTAAGCAGAGTTGGCTCAGTACTCTTTCCCCAGTACTCACAGGTAGATAGATATTTTGCAGTGGGAAATGACTGAACCAGGTATTGTGACAATAAAGGTAACCTCAGAAACTTGTTCTCAACTGTGAATAATCAGAATTGACTGAATTTATGAAACAATATATTTTAGTTCAAAAGGTACAATAATTGGGAAAGCTATTTTGTTCGTTTGTGTTTTGTTTTTTTGCATTTGAAAACAAAGTGAGATGTTTTCCCGTAGACATAGATTGGGATTAATGATTATAGGTAGTGTAAAATATTGTATCTTAACAACAAAACATATGAACATATATACAACATATTTAAGTGATTAACTTGCCTTTTTTGTTTTAAGCATTTTTTTTTAGCCCACTTTTGATTTTAAGAAATCTGAGTAGATAAATTGCTGATAACATCTTTGTCAGGTTTGTTCACTGCTTTTTCTTGTCTCCATTCTACAAGACCTATGTTTGAGGGGATAAAAACTCCTTAAGTGAGTGAGATCTACTTTCTGATGGAAACTAAAACAAACAATAATAAAAACTCCAAAAACACCCTATAGAAATTACAAACATAGTGGTGTGAGTCTATGGCACCTTATTCAATCCCTGGAAGGAGGTAAATGATAAGGTTCTCTTGTAAACATAAATTACTTTGGCCTGGCCAGTGTGGCTCAGTGATTGAGCAGCGTCAGCCCATGAACCAAGAGGTCAGGGATCGATTCCTGGTCAGGGCACATGTCCAGGTTGTGGGCTTGATCCCCAGTGGGAGGCAGCTCATCAGTGATTCTCTCTCATTGGTGTTTCTCTCTCTTTCTCCTTCCTTCCTCTCTAAAATTATTTTAAAAAAATATATATATTTTTTAAAAGATAAATGACTATGTAAATATTTTTTTAAATGTAAAAAGAATTGAATAATAAAGGCAGAAATTATATTTCTTTGGTTAGTGATTCTCCTACTTACCATTATTTTTTGGTGAGATTCTTATTTCTAAAATTATAATAATTCTCAGTTGAAAAATGGCGTTCAGTTCATGCTTATATAGGTTTTTTGGCAAAACAGAAGTTGTGTGACTTTCTTCTTGTTCATGTCTTCCCCCTTCCCCATTGTTAACAAGTATAGTACCTTTTTGTATGAAATGTTTAACAAAAATGTTTAAAATTTGTAGTAAGGAAGTGATTATAGCAAAGCATAACATTTACCATAGTAGCTATTTTTAAGTGTACAGGTCAGTAATGTTTAGTACATTCACATTGTTGTGCAACCAATCTCCAGAACTCTTCATCTTGCAAAATTGAAATGCTATAATCATTAAACAACACCTCCCTATTTTCCTCTCCCTTAGCCCCTGGAAACCAACATTCTACTTTCTGTCTATGAATTTGACTAATCTAGGTACCTCATGTAAGTGGAATCATACAGTATTTGTCTTTTTGTTTTTGACTTATTTCACTTAACATAATGTCTTCAAGGATATTCTGTGTTGTAGCATGTGCCAGAATTGCGTTCATTTTTAAGGTTAAATAATATTCCATTATATTCATTTAACTTAAAAATATTCATTTTACTTTAGTATGATGTATAATTACATAGGAACATTTTACTGGATACTGTGGAAAACAAAATGAATTTTAAATTTAGTTGTGAAGGTGAGCTTTTGGTTGTGCAAGGTGAAACTTTGCTTGAATTTTGGGGCCTTGGACAAGTTATTGAATTTATAAGTATCTGTTTTCTCATCTGTGAAATGGGGTCAATAATACCTAACCCCATTTAGGGTAATTATGAAGAGTGAAGGAGATGATTTATGTAAAGTAACCTAATACAGTGCCTGCTACATTGGAAGTACTATAATAAGAGATATTATGATTATATTTGTCTTGGGGGGTGTACATTGTAATAGAGTGGAAGAGCATGGACTTTATAGTGGACAGATTTGATTTTATTCCTAGTTCCACTTTGCACTAGATGTATGGTCTTAGACAAATCAATGAATCTCTATAAGAAAGTTTATTAATGTGTAGTGTTTATGTCTCAGGATTTTTAGAAGGACTAGAGGTTATATATTTACAGTGCAGTACCATGTAGGCTCTCAGTAAAAGGCATCTATTCCTGCTGTTTTTAGTTATCATTTCTTATTTTGGAATCCATATAATAGGGAATCAGTCATTGAATTTACTTTAGGAATTTATGTGAGGTTTACTTTGTGCTAAGAGGAATATTGTTGATTAATAGTGAAATTT